TCATCCATGACTGAAGTGTTTTTTATTGATGGACTGAATTCCTCTGTTTTTGTCTCTGTTGCAGGGCTGTCATTGTCCAGGAGAGCAGCACTGTTTTTGGTCTTCTCCTCCTGGGTGTCTGTTGCTGGTTCACTCTATCTTGCATCTATTCTTGCCTTTGTTCTGGGGGATTTCTGTCTGCTGAACTGAAGCCACACTGGATCTGATCCTTTGGCTGAAATAACTGCAGTGAGACAGTTCTTGTAGCCATCTACCAGTCTCTGACATCGGTCTGAGGAAATTTTACCCCACTCCTCAATGCAGGATTGTTTCAGCTGTGAGATGTTTGAGGGGTTTCTTGCATGTACAGCCCTTTTCAAGTCACCCCACAGCATCTCAATGGGATTCAGGTCTGGACTTTGGCTCGGCCATTCCAGGACTCTCTATTTCTTCTTTTTCAGCCAGTCTTTGGTTGATTTACTAGTATGTTTTGGGTCATTGTCATGTTGCATGGTCCAGTTCCGCTTCAGCTTTAATTTTCTAACCGATGGTCTCACATGTTCTTCAAGCACCTTCTGATACACAGTACAATTCATGGTGGATTCTATGATGGTGAGCTGACCAGGTCCTGCTGCAGCAAAGCAGCCTCAAACCATGACACTTCCACCTCCATGCTTCACAGTTGGTATGAGGTTCTTTTCCTGGAATGCTGTGTTTGGTTTACGCCAAACATGTCCTCTGCTCTGGTGTCCAAATAATTCAATTTTGGACTCATCTGTCCAAAGAACATTATTCCAGAAGTCCTGGTCTTTGTCAACATTCTCTCTGGCAAATGTCAGTCTGGCCTTGATGTTTCTCTTAGAGAGCAAAGGTTTCCTCCTTGCACGCCTCCCATGCAAGTTAAACTTGTGCAGTCTCTTTCTGATTGTAGAGGCATGCACTTCTACATCAACAGTAGCCAGAGCCTGCTGTAGGTCTCGAGATGACATTTTAGGGTTTTTGGAGACCTCGTTTAGCATCTTGCGGTCTGCTCTTGGTGTGAACTTGCTGGGGCGACCAGACCTGGGCATGTTGGCAGTTGTTTTGAAAGCCCTCCACTTGTAGACTATCTTCCGGACAGTGGAATGGCTGATTTCAAAATCTTTTGAGATCTTTTTAAATCCTTTACCAGACTCATAGGCTGCTACAATGTTTTTTCTGAAGGCCTCTGACAGCTCTTTTGCTCTCACCATGGTGCTCACTCTCACTTCAACAGTCAGGAGCACACCAAACTAAAGGTTGGAGGTGTAGATGGGGCAAGCCTCATTCAAAATGCTGAGTAACGATCTACTAATTATGTGCACCTGGTGTGATATACCTGTGTGTGATTTGAGCCATTTTAAGAGGGCATACATGTGAGGGTGTGCTATCTTTTTCCTCAGTTAGAATAGGCATTTTTGTAGAATTACATTTACAGAAGATCTTGAAAAGACTTTTCTTCAGTTTTACTTGTTTAGTTGTATTACTTTAATCTCTCTGTATTGTTAAAATTGAGATTAAATAACCATACATTAAAACATGTTACAAAATACACATGCTTTCAAAGGGTGTCCTAATTTTTTCACATGACTGTAAATGCAGCCTTCTTCTTATCACTGAGCACCAGCTTCAAATACCTGGGTAGAGACAGATATTTGGAGAAATACCTGGACTGGAGAAAGTATTGCCAAATCTGAAGTAATCACAAATATCAAATAAATAAAAAAACAAATGTTATAACAGAAAGCCTGTGTTGCAAAGGTTTTTGTAGCTTGACCAAGTCCAAGTGTCCCAGATTTGTAAATTTATTTCTAGCTCATTCATTGTTTCTGGTTGCAGATAAGTGATAAACTTGTCCAACTTCTCATTTATTGTGTTTCAGTGAATCCGAACCTCCCAACTCAACAACCGAAGAGCACAAGAACAAGTAAGAGTATCTATCTGTAATGTTAGATGTATATTTTACAGTATATGACATGCAAGATTACTCTTGTCCTCACAAAAGAGCATACTGTAAGTACTGCATATCAAGTAGTTTCATCGTGCATATATTTAACCCAACAGTGTGTGTCTGTGCAAGTATGTGAACTTGCACTTTGTTTAGATTGTTCTTGCATGAAGCTCTACAACAGTTATGTACATGAACATTTTATACAAGGCAGTTTTTTTTATACATAATTAATCAAATTAATCAAGCCTAGTTGGCTATTCTTTCTAATGAATTCAGACCCTGCAATGATTATATTAATCTGACCACATGTAAATGTGGTACAATGAGGGTTAAAAATGTTTTTAGGCTGACCTTATCAATATATATTGTATTAACTTGTGAAAGGGGGTTGTTTGTAATGACAAACTCACAAAGAATTGCCACTTGTCTCAGCGTCTCCCCTCACCTCTGCTTTAGCATCTTTTAGTGTATTGTTTTGGTTTTACTGCGAAAAACATTCCTGTTTGGGTTCACTGCTCTCATCAATTTGTTTTCACTTTTTCATAAAAAAAAGCTCTGGGGAAAAACTGACAGTGCAATGTGGCTGGGACCAAACAAAGTTACAAACACAGTTAGTGACTAGCTAATGAGTGCAGTGGAGTGTTTGGCTGCTAAAGAGCCAGGAGTTGGATATTGCTGCCTCATGTCTGCTGGATATATCAGCTACTGTTAGCTAGTGTATTCACTATATATGCCCCAAAATCCAATTAATAGTGCTTTAAAAAGTTTTATTATACAAAAAACTATATCTTTACAAAAGGGGCAGTTAGACATACAGTAGACATTTTGACAGGAAAAACCATAGGTCAAATTAATAAAAGAAGAACAAGCTAACCCCTTGTGTGTTTTTTAACCTTTTATTAGTTATGATATTAGCTGTGTGATGTGTTATGTCACTATTACACTTATAAAAGATCACTTGCATGCAATACGTCTGTACCACATAGTCAGTGTTGAAGTACCCATGCATGAGTTAAAGCATCCATACACAGGGACACTCCAAATCACAGTATGGGGTTGTTTTCTTCAACAGGAGTTATACAAATTGTAGTGATGGTATACAAAGCAGTGACACAGGTAGTATTGGTAGTGTTAATAATAGGAGGTGCACTAGTCTAAGTAATTGTTTTTTTTATGAACAGCACCTTCCACCAGCATACGTATGATCCTCGAAGGAAGCATGTCGGCTTCAGTGGCTCCGCAAACAGAGAGAACAGAGCTAACATCACCTAGTGTGCAGAGTACATCTGACTCCCCACAGGGTATGTAGCTTAATGTCTGAATCCAGGCTGAATCATCTCAAACTTGTCATGTTGTACTGAGGTTTTTATGTCCTTACATAAAAGTCAGACCTCCATATTTTTTTCACTTGATTCCACCACTGCTCAGCAGTGTTTTAGATCTGTGTGTGGTGGTTTAAAGATGAATCATCTTCATCCTACTTTTTCACATCTGTAAAAAAATCTCAAAACTGCACAAAAGCAGAAATCTGTTCAATCAATCTTTCTGTGCAACTCGTGCTGCCTTTGTCTGTCTAAAGCTTATTCTGTCTTTTTACTCCTGGACGGAATAGCATCCATCTCAACCACCACTAAGCCAGTGAGCGGGACATTTGATGCTGAAAAGTCTGCTCAGTTCAGTAAGCTTAAAATCTTATTACTGTACTCAATTGAATCAAATCTCCTGCCTAGAAAGAAATCTTATTTGTATTTGTAAAAGAGTAAATGATAAAGGTGGGAAAATTGCTGAGATGCATTATACTTGCCAGGTTTTACTGTGTTCAGATGGGTCAGACACAGTTATAGCCCTTTTACTAAATATTTACTTTTATTTTCACAAGGAAAAATGTCATTTAATTTTTTATATTAAAAGTGCAGATGTACAATACATAACCCCTCTGAGTTTCATTATACTGTAATCTTTCATGGTGCAGGGACAGTACAGGGATATTCTCTTTAATGAAGTACACCTCTAGTTTTTTGTGGAGAAATTGTGCATATTTCTCTTGCAGGACTAACAACAGCAGTGGTGATCGTTTCCATTTTATTGGTGATTGTTGGTGCTTTGTTCGGAATCACCTTCTATTGTAGAAGGTAAGCTCACAAAATGTTAGCATGACAGAGGATTTAGCTTTTGAAAGTATGGCATTTGAAAATATGTGGAATTATGTTGCATCACAATTTATTTTAGTTAATGAAATGAGTAAAATTAAGGTCAGACAGTTACTTCTGGTAGACATTTTGTGCCATTAACAAGCAGTTTGCATCTTTATGTATCAGAAATCATAATGTTTGGATGATCTAGTCACGGGGAATAGTGATGAGATGGCTACTAAGCACTACAGCAGAGGGATTTGAGTATAAAACTTTTATCACATTTATAAAGAGGATAGTTTTGTACACCCACCAAGAGTAGAGGACATTTTGTTTGTTAGTATACCTCCCATGCAATGACAACTTCTCTTTTGACCTATAGATTCTTACACTATATAGATTTGGCATGCCTGGGAATTACATTGTGATGTATG